TAAGAGATCAATTCACACCACAAGCATCCAGGACGTGTTGGAACCTTTCTCAGATTCCATATATCTGGTTCAAAAGAATCACACTTCTTTATATCAAGAGCAGTACAAGATTAAAAATAAATAAATATATAAAAAAAGTGCTCATATATCTGTTTATGGTGAACTGAGGAAAAAACTCTGGACAAGAAATAGAAATATGACTTAAGAGTTTGCTTGATTAAAATATCATTTTATTAAAATAATTTTTATTAAAAAAGTAATTAAAAAAGCATTGTATAATAAATTAAAAATATTTTATAAAAATTTATTAAGTTTTGTAATAAAATTTTATTAAAACTTAATTTGTTAAGTTATTAATTTTATTATATTTAGTAAAAAATTAATACAAAATTATTATATAAATTTAATATAGAGATACTTATAGAAATTTTTTTAAGAGTTTATTTAATAAGATTTATTAATTAAGTATTTTTAATTAATTTTGTGTAAATTTTAATATCAAATTTATAATTTTTAAATAAATTTTGAGTATAAATATTATATTATATTTTTATATAAAAATTTATACAAAATTAATTGCAAATATTACAATTAATAAAACTTAACTTGTACATGTGGCATCATCCATTTTCAATCAGAGAGGATATATTATTAGCCGGTGGCTGTGACCTCTCCTCACCATAAATTTCCCTTGTTCCCACACTGCCATATCGCTAACACCTTTCAAGAAATATCCAGCTAAATCACTTCAATAAGTCTGCTCTTCCTCCTTTGCCGGCTCACCTTTTCTTATTATCAGATACGGTTCGGCTTGCAATTCAGGGCGTAGTTCTCTGCTTCTGCTTCCAATCTGCTTGGCGTAACTAATTTGATTATCAGTGTTCACTTTGTTTAATTTCTTCTATTGAATTTAAAGGTAAGTTAGATCTTTTATCATAATTTGATGCGTTTATGTTATCATTAAAGTACATATTAAATGAAAGATATCTAAATTTTTTTAGTAGATGCATGACCTTATCTTCAATATCCTCTATTAGATTTTTTATTTTTAAATTATTTTTTAACAAATCGTTAAATTCTTTTATATTTAAATTCGCTTTTATTTGATTAATTTGAATCATAATTTATTTTCAGGAAATACTTATCAAACCCTCTAATTGCTAAGAAATAGACTTGCACGTAAGCAAAACTGCTGCTACTTGTAATTTGCTTGGTTTAATTTGGTGATCCTCACCAATTTCTTCAATTTCATTTGTTAAACTTAAAGGTATATTATTATTTTTTTTTGGTAGAAAAAAGGTATATTATTTACTATCTAAATCTTAAATCGTGATTCTCTCCTTTTTTTTTTAATGAGAAAAAAGAATTAATAAATAAATACAAATCATTAGCAAACCAACCTTAAGTTTTGATTCCCTTAAGTTTTTGTTGAAGTATATATGATGAAAAAAAAGAAAATAACAGTAGTGTACTAATAGATACAAATGATTAGCATATCAACCTCTATTTAAGCAGGTCACTTTTTCATTTTAT